GAACCGTGCGAGGGAAATCAGTTTATAAATAATTGTTTTTGCAGAGCGCCTGAAATTATATTAGGATTGCCCTTTCGGGAAGCTATTGATATGTGGTCACTAGGGTGTGTCATCGCCGAACTATTTTTGGGTTGGCCATTGTATCCTGGCAGTAGTGAATATGATCAGATGAGGTACATTGTCCAAACACAAGGCTTGCCGCCTGTTCAGATGTTGCAGCTTGCTATGAAAACTCATCGCTTTTTTAAACAGGTACGATATTTTAGATCTCTCTGTTTCCTGGCCACACCTAAAACTTTCGTTGTCTTACTTCATTGCATGTTTTTTGAGATAAGGAATGAATCGAAAAAAAATTTAGGTGGAAAATGGTGGCGCTACGTATTGGAGGCTAAAAACGTTAGAAGAGCATGAGCATGAATCCCCTTCAAAATCGAAAGAGACGCGTAAATACGTCTTCAATTGTCTTGATGATGTTGCTCAAGTTCGGGTAATCGTCGAATTTCAATACAGTAGCAGAAGTTTTGTGTAAATAATAGTAAAATAGGGTCTTTACAGCCTATTGAAGCAGACGGGTTGGATGGCATATGTGAGAAAGTGGATCGGTTGGAATTTGTAGATTTATTAAAAAAGATGTTATCTATGGACCAGGACAAAAGAATAGCTCCTTACGATGGACTTCAACATCCGTTTGTTACAATGACACATATAGCAGATTATTGTCGGTCCAAGTAGTAAGTTATAATTCGTTATGTTACTTTTAATACTTGCTAGTCTGTATAGATTTGTTTGAAAATGACGTAACAACATGTCCAGGAGTAAGTTTTCTTTACGGCCTACGGTGGCTTTACTGTTCCGTCCTCTTAAAAAAAATTTGAATTGAGTGCCAATGTTTTATTTTTATTCAGCTTCCAAGTTTCAATGCAGCGCATGGAAGTATGTGCACGGAACGTACGTACTCAAGTTCAGCCGCAGTTGTTCCAACCGAGAAATGTTGCAGCAGCACCAGCCGCCCCTGCTGTTGGTGCATCAGCACCAATACTCGCAGCCCCTGTAGCTGCGGCTTCATCATCTGCTGCAGTGCCGCAAGTTCCTCCGTTGCAACAAACTGATTTCAGTCACATTCTTAGTCAGTATGGTGCTACGGCTGCTGCAGCCGTTACTGGTGTGCAAGGCGGAAATCCATCGTACATTTATCAGCCGTTAGCTGCCGTTCTTCCTTATGGTTAGTGTGATATTGTTCTTACCATTAACTTCTCCAATTTCTGTTTTATTTTTTGGGAATGAGTCAAGTAGATCAAGAATGTATATGTGACTTTTTTTCTTTAAAATTAGTTTTTTTTTATTTTTTTTGCAGAAGCGCTGTTGTAAAATCTTGGTGTTTCTAAGTAGTTCACTGAATATTGTTTGTGTTAGTAGTTTTTTTTGCGTCATTTTCTTGAAAAAGCCCTATTTATTCTAGTAGTAATCTAAGGTAATTCAGAACTTGCAGCACGACAGACTCAGTTTGTTGGTTTTCCTAGTGCTCATGCGACTACACCACTTATACCACAACTTGTTCCAGTATCGCTGATTGATCCTCAGCTGCTGGCCGCTGCATCGGCTCTTCCTCAAGCTCCTACTGCGTGGCATGCTGCAGCTCCGGCGCCTCTTCTTTCGTGGTCTGCAGCATGTGCTGCAACTGCTGCTCAAAGACCAGCAGCTGGTGCTGCTTTATTTCCTAGTGACTTTTTCCTACCTAATCCAGCAACTGTGCAAGCACTTACTTCTCCTCGAAATGCAGCTGCTGTGGCTGCATTAGCTGCGCAGCAGTTCTCACATATCTTTCCAAATCAGCCGAAAACGTATCCTGAGCTTGGTATGGGACAATCTCAGGTTGTCTTGGTAAAATTTACTCACTATTTTAAATTCATGTTATATTTCTTCACATTTATATTGTTTTTTCTTTTTTTTTTTTTTTTGAAGGATGATTGGGTGCAGCCATACGTGTCCGCTTCTCGACGTGGGGCTGCGGGAAGTAACAGTAGCGGTACAGCTTCAATCAGTGGCAGTAATGGTTTTCGGAGCCAACAGAATCAAGGTGGTATAGTGAAAGACCCTGCTATTATTGCTACTGGGCCAAGGATGAGCAATAAGGACAGTTCAAAACTTGTTGAAGGCACACGGTATGTTTCTTGATATTTTTTTTGCATTTTGCACTGTTGCATTTTCTTTTTTCTCTGGTTTGTCACTTTTTCCTTTCCTCCTTTTACTTTCTTTCTTTTTTCTCATTGTTCCTCTTCACTGCGCCAATTAATGCAAATGCTTAACAGTTTGAGGCCGTACTTCTATGATCTTTTGATTTTAGTATTTCCATTCCCTTTCCCAGTACTTGCGTGTTTTTGATGGCTATTCTTGCTTTTTGAGTTGCTTAGCAGTGGTTCTGTGTATTTGATGGACTAATCGTTTGTCTCGTATGAGCGAAGTTATTTTTAATTGAGTTTGAGATGCAAGAAGAATTAAAAGTAGTGTATGCCGCGAAAGTTAAAGGCCATTATTTACGTGGGGAGTTGTCGTTTAGGTACAGACAAAACAGACTAGGAAGGGAAAGGAGTCCATCGCCATCAGTTTCAGTTATCACATTATTGTCTTCGGATGAAGACACTAGTCGGCAGACCCTTGGGTTTGTTCTTGAAATCTTTCTCTTGGTATTGTGGTTTCTAGTTTTTAGCGTTTACTCTTGAGATGCATTCGCTTTCTTCGCATCTTATTTCCGGCATTTTTATGAATCGTCTACGTGCAGTTATTTTTTGTTGCGAAAGCAAAGAATTACATAAATTGAAATTTTAGTCAGGTAAACAGTCAGTGGACTAGGCGCTTTTAGAGGGCATTCAAATAAATTAGTATTTCTATTGTATTCTAGTCTTTCATTTAACAGAACTACAAATGTCCTTTTTTTTCGAACTGCTGTGAATCCTTTTGTAGTTTGTGGGCTTTAGCAGTATTCTCCTTT